ATCATCTGCATAGTAGTCGATTATGCTTCATAACTTTTGACGTTTGACCAAAGTGGTATCAACTTTACAACAAAAGATATTTCTGTAAGACTGGGGACATGTATAAGAACGAAACAAGAATGTAGTTCGACAAAACAAGAATGCCAAGAGTAGGTTAAAAAGAACAAATTTCAGTTTGTAATAGTAAATTCGTTACTAGCTACTAAGGAAACAAAAGATGACGGAATGGTTTACGAGTCAAATATTCCATTATAAATACATTTAATGTTATCACATACGTAATATGTAAAGAAATGTTGCATCACTTTTTAAAAAACAATAAAGAATTATTATCAACTAAAACATTCTAGTTTTTCGAACATCTCCGATCAACAACTTTTTTGTAACAGATAAGCCATATTCAGTTAGGGAATAGTGTGCCCTATTTTTTGACGATTCGTTCCCAATAAATCAAATCAACATCTATCTTTGCATTGTTTGACCAGTGTGTTACGATAAAAATATCAACTTTGATGAAGGTCGTGAAATGTAGACTGCCATTGTAACAAAGTGTAACTCTGATGAACAGGGATTTGCAACAGCCGACTCGTAGCCCCTCAAACAGTTGTTAAGGTTTTATAACATTCAGAAAGTTTGGTACTCTTCGTATACGAGGCATCAGATCTAACGTTCAATTTCCAGCACTGCCATCCTTACTCCTCTCCTCTCCATTGCATGGATTTATGTTTTCAGATGGAAACTTTGAAAAACAAGCAAACTTCTACTCTTTTATGTATACATATACTTTTTAAACAAATACACAAGTTTTATATCTTATTCTAAAACTTAAATATTTGCTGTACTAATTTGTCTTGTATATGTTTAAGTACATATTAATAGTTTTCTTTTACTTATTTCTTCTTCTCGTTATTGTGTTTTCTTCATTAGAAACCTTCATCAATATAACATCCTTAAAAGCGTAAAGTCTCTACAAAATTTATGAAACTAAAATTTCTAAAAGCTATGTTTATCGTAGTATTCGTAGGGTTAGTTTTAGGTCATCAGACAGACCATCTAGAGATGTCCGAAGAACTACCCAGAAATCCCTCTCTTCCGGTAATGAACTAAATGGCTATACAGACGATATATTCTACTGAAGAGCAATCCGGCTGTTCCTGACTGCAGGAACGACCATCCAAGGTATATATTGGTATTTAGATATACTCGGAATCACAACATTGGCGCTGCGAGCACTAATTTGCGTGGTGATTTGCAATTTAGGGCTCATTTTGTGAGTTGAGGCGACGTTCGCCTCAACAGTTTCCCGCCGTAAAGGATTCGGGGGAAACCTTTGCCGATCGTTTTTTGTTGTGAAATACTCTGGGAGAGCATATTACATAACATCACAGGGGTTTTGCAGCGCGGTAGAACCCCTGTTTTTTGCGTAGTATTGAGTATTTGTTGTTTTTTCGTATTTTCAAGACGACTTGGATCACGTGACCTGGGAGGAACGGGGAACCAGTCGTGTTGTTATTGTTCTGTTTACCTCTGATAACTGCAGACCAGAAGGACGGGTTACCAGTCGTATTATTGTTCTGTTCGCTTCCGCTACTAACCGCAGACCAGAAGGACGGGTTACCCAAAGCGGAAGTATTTATTATTCAATAAAATAAAATAAAATAAAAATATCTGTATTATTCTTAGTGTGTTGTTTGTTGTTGTTTATTCTTTAAATTAATAAACTTTGTTATCAATTGTTGTCAGTAATTTACAGTTACTCATGTCACTGGTAAACATTAACCAGTGCAGTTTTCAAGAGTTGCTCCAGCTCCCAGGTATAGGCATCAAAACTGGGGAGCAAATAATGGACATAAGGGATGGCAAGGGCTTTGTGACTGAGGCTGATTTAGCCACTATATCCCACCTAAGAGTCACTATGGCCCTCATAGCTAGGCTGGACTTCAGCACCAATGGGGGTGGCCAAAATATTGGGCCACCACCTGAGGCCCGAGGCAAACATCAATCAAAGATAAACACTATTATAGATGGGGGAGTGGTTGTCGCACCAGGCATGCCATGCCAAACACATGGCCGGTCTGTATTTAATCAAGAAAGATGGCACCAGGGGCAAAGTCCTGGGGCTTGGGGAAGGCCCAGCCAGATGGACTCTGCCTTCCTTGAGTATAGAACATATTCTGAGGAGGCCAGATCTAGGCCTGAGACCACAGCTAATTGGAGCGGGATTTACGGGGAACAGTTGCCGCAAAAAGAGATGGGCCACCACAACGCTGGTGACCCAAACCAGGGTAACAACCCTCACCCCGAGGGTAGTAGTATTATTGGGTACAAGCCGTATTGGCCAGGCGAAGACCATGCGTGGGACAAGAGTGCCCCAACGAAAGGGGGCACACCTTCTTATCCCAGGGGTATTGCAAGCAATTATACTAGTCAGGGGTCAGCACCTGGTACCCAACCGGTGACCACCGGTGGGGGACTGTATGACACACCCCGTAGTAGTTATGGCATGTGGCAAGACAATAGGGGCAAGGACACAAGGCAAACCCCAGCCCGTACCTATGGAGATAGACAACCTCTGGGTTGGTGTAATCAAGGGTACACACCCGTGCCCCCAGAAGGGGTCACCATAAGGGGGAGCTATGGGCAGCAGGCCTACCCAGTAGCATATAATGAGGATAGGCCTAGGGAAAATACAAGGGGACCCGACAGCAGAGGTGGGTCACGAGGAGTTTCAAGTAGCGCCTCAAAAATCAGCAACGCCCCGAAAAATATTAAGTATGAAGGGAAGAGCAACTGGCAGGCTTTCTTCACAAAATTTGCAAGGTATGCAGAGGTTTGTGAGTGGGGCCCACAAGAATGCAAAGATCAACTTTGCTGGTGCCTTGAGGGAAAGGCAAGTGAATATTATGCCCTCATTACGGAAAGAGACAGGGAGGTGAGTTATAGGGAGCTAGTTGAAAAACTGCACAAGCGTTTTGGTTTCAAGGCGCTCCCTGAGACTGCCCGGGTCCAGTTCAACAATGCCCGGGAAGCCCCTGAGGAGTCTCTTGAGGACTGGGCTGACCGTGTGTTGTCCTTGGCGACCATGGCATTTAGTAACCTCCCTGATGAGTATATGTATGAGCAAGCCGTAACACGGCTGTGCCAGGGCATTGAAAACAAAGAGTTGGGAGTGCAAGTCTCTAACCTCCAGCCCCAAAGTATTGAGGAAGCAGTAGATAAAATACGGCTATTCCAACATAACACCAAGGCAATATATGGCAAGCCAAATAGGCGTGAGGTCAGGCAGGTAATGGGTGGGCGGTATGAAGATCACCCTGAGGCCTTCCATGAGTATCAGGTGCCCCATGTAAGGGCTACCATGGCTCCTGAGAGGGCCCCAGACAGTGCATGGGAAGCGGAGTTTGAAAAGTCCAATAAGAAGTTTGACAAAAAACTTGGTCAGGTCCATGAAAAACTTGACGACATGATGGACCAATTTAAGAAACTCCTCACAAGCCCCATTGCAGGAAGCCCCTCACCGGGCAGACAGACAGGGGCGGAAGGTTGCCACCACTGTGGGGAGAGGGGCCATTTAAAAACGGATTGTCCAAACTTGGGAGGTAAATCCATCTCAGGGAGTCCCTCCACTCATAGAGGGCCTCCAAGGGGAGTGTGCTACCACTGTTTTAAGCCTGGACATGTAAGGAAGGACTGTCTAGATTTCCAGGGGAGGGATAAAACTGCTACCTTCATAAATCAGTCAAGCAGAACTGCAACTGGACCATTAAACTTCAACGGGACTACTCAGGAGGCCGGAGTGAGTCCCCGCAAATGAAGTTAGGCCTCTCAGAAGTTGCGTCTGTACCCCAAGCCAGAGTAGCGGAGGTAGCTATAGTGGGCCCAGGGGTAGGTGCCAGGGACAGGGAGGGGAACAGAGAACCGAGTGTGTCGGTGAAGGTTAGAGCAGAGATTGAGTCAGAGCAGTGCTCCAATTCTGACAAAGAGGCAACTCCTTCAGGCGGATTGGACTGCTACTTATTTAAATGTCTTGCGGACATATTGAGGCATGGTGCACTGGAGTTGGTCCAAAGCCTCCTCCCAGGTGGGTATTTGTTGGTGGAGGAAATCCTTAAAAGGCACCCAGGCTTTGCCGGGTACTCTTTACCGGATATTCATAAACTGATCAAGGTTGATGAGGACAGGAGGTTCACTTTAATAAAGGACACAGACAGTGGTTGTTGGAAAATAAGGGCCAACCAGGGGTATTCCTTGATGGTGGATACCCCAGCCATACCATTAGTAGAGAAATGTGAGGTGCCCCAAAGCAACTTAGTTGCTCCAGCATTGCTCACAGGGGACCTGGAGGGTCCAGTAGCCAATATTATGAGGGAACCCATAGGAGCTATCTTGGCAATTGAGAATAGCAGTAGCATTCACAAGGTTGCTGCCCAAACAGAGACAACTTTGGCAAGTGATGAAGAGGCCCAAGAAAGTTTGGACTCCACCTCAGACGATGAGGTAGAAGGGGCCAGTGATGAGAAGATAGTCACAGTTTGTCCGCAATACCAGGATTCGACATGTCCTACTCCTATTGTTGACGGAGGAATGACTGACAATACTGAAAACAGTCATACATCTCTCACTTTTGAGGACCCTTCCTCAATGGGAGAAACTGACAGAAAGGCCGCAACTGAAAGCAACAGTCCGCCCAACAAAGAAAAAGTTATTACTGTAGAATCTTTATTAGACAAAGAATCTGCATACTTTAATCCAGACAATCCAAGTTTGAGTTTGGGGTCACTTTTGAAAGCAGATAATGTGGGCACTAATTATTTTAATCTGCAACCTGACTTTAAATAAAGATAACTTACTTACTTACTTACTTACGTATATGTGGTATTCACCTGCATTACATTATATATCTGAAATGAATATCATGATTAATACCTATTTAACCGTGAGCGTTGTATGTTAAACATGTTAAATGTAACTTGGAAATTCCAGAAAAAACATACAAAAGCGACATTTGAAATATTTAATGTTTAAGATTATTTACAAAAAAATATATAATATTTATTGACAATGCGATATTCATATGTCACACTGTCACACATGATTCAATTTCATTTGCATACATGTGCACCAAAAACTTGTTTTTTCAAGGTCTATGATATATTATAAAAAAAACAGAAATATGGTCTGTAAACAAACATCAAAAAAACAATTTAAAGCGGACAAATACAAAGAAGACGTCGCACTATTATAAGGCAATTATTGTATTGAGCTTGTTTAGTTATTAGGTTATTATAGACCTTTTAATATCTGTAAGTTGTACCAACAATGAATCAATTAAGATTCGTTACTCTTTATGAGGTCCAGTGTGGTCTATAAAACATATGTAATGTAAACACAAATATATTCTTATACCTTTGTGTAAAAAGAAAACCTGTCAGAGCAATATGCTGCAAATTCTTCTGAGACTAATGCTATAAAGATAATATATGAAAATACCACTTTATAATTTACGGGCGTCCGAAGTAATTTTCTTGATATACATTCATCAGGAATCCTCATACCCAAAACTTTTAAAGCCGAGGAAGTATAAATACAAGTTAGCGAGTTTAGTACCCTGCCGTGAACTATTGTGTCTCTCCCTTTTCAGGAACCTCGTTGGTGGTTGTCATTTGTCATATCTTAGTTTTTATATCTTTCTTGCTTTCAGGCATTTGATATTTCTGGCGGATTTTGAAAATCTCGGCTGTCAAATTTATTCACTTCTTTTCTAAACTCGTGTCGAATAAGTACTGCACATGACACATGTCTATTGTCTGCACATGAAACATGTCTATTGTCTGCACATGAAACATGTCTATTGTCTGCACATGAAACATGTCTATTGTCTGCACATGAAACATGTCTATTGTCTGCACATGAAAAACATGTCTATTGTCTGCACATGAATCATGTCTATTGTCTGCTCATGAAACATGTCTATTACCTGCACATGAATCATGTCTATTGTCTGCACATGAATCATGTCTATTGTCTGCACATGAAACATGTCTATTGTCTGCACATGAAACATGTCTATTGTCTGCACATGAAAAACATGTCTATTGTCTGCACATGAAACATGTCTATTGTCTGCACATGAAACATGTCTATTGTCTGCACATGAAAAACATGTCTATTGTCTGCACATGACACATGTCTATTGTCTGCACATGACACATGTCTATTGTCTGCACATGACACATGTTTATTGTCTGCACATGAATCATGTCTATTGTCTGCACATGAAACATGTCTATTGTCTGCACATGACACATGTCTATTGTTTGCACATGAAACATGTCTATTGTCTGCACATGAAAAACATGTCTATTGTCTGCACATGAAACATGTCTATTGTCTGCTCATGAAACATGTCTATTGTCTGCACATGAAACATGTCTATTGTCTGCACATGAATCATGTCTATTGTCTGCACATGTATCATGTCTATTGTCTGCACATGAAACATGTCTATTGTCTGCACATGAATCATGTCTATTGTCTGCTCATGAAACATGTCTATTGTCTGCACATGAAACATGTCTATTGTCTGCACATGAAAAACATGTCTATTGTCTGCACATGACACATGTCTATTGTCTGCACATGAAACATGTCTATTGTCTGCACATGAAACATGTCTATTGTCTGCACATGAAAAACATGTCTATTGTCTGCACATGACACATGTCTATTGTCTGCACATGACACATGTCTATTGTCTGCACATGACACATGTTTATTGTCTGCACATGAAACATGTCTATTGTCTGCACATGAAACATGTCTATTGTCTGCACATGACACATGTCTATTGTTTGCACATGAAACATGTCTATTGTCTGCACATGAAACAACATGTCTATTGTCTGCACATGAAACATGTCTATTGTCTGCACATGAAACATGTCTATTGTCTGCACATGACACATGTCTATTGTCTGCACATGACACATGTCTATTGGCTGCACATGACACATGTCTATTGTCTGCACATGAAACATGTCTGTTGTCTGCACATGAAACAACATGTCTATTGTCTGCACATGAAACATGTCTATTGTCTGCACACGAAACAACATGTCTATTGTCTGCACATGAAACATGTCTGTTGTCTGCACATGAAACATGTCTATTGTCTGCACATGACACATGTCTATTGTCGAAATCTGTAGGATGACCTCTCTATAGATGTTTTTGTTTATGCTATAATAGTAATGGGTTTTAATACAACTATTTTGCATTTTCATATGACCTATAATCTCAGAGGAATTACTTTGCTTTAATTCCGTACAAAGCGACAAGTCATCGTATGAAAACTTCTACCATGCAATGTGTTGATTTATATTTTAGGGAATAATATGTCATGAAGGAGGTGTCTTTCAACTAAAAAAGATCACTTCTAGCTAGATCATTTTGTGTAACGTTTAGCTGCGAATTTCATCAAAGATAACCACTGTTATGAAATCAGTTAACGACATGTTATTACAATGAAATATCATTAAATATAAGTGCCACTTTGATCATTACAACAGAGCAAAAGGAACGTGTAGAAATAAATTACATTAAAATAGAAAACCATGTTCTAGTTATAACCTTAAATCATGAAAATGCACGACTATTTTTTTTTTAAATATGCTTCATTATTGAAGTACCACATAGATAAAGACCAATTAACTGCTGCTCCAAGATCGCATGATACGCTTGCGAGTCCCATAACACTTGAAGTATAGATATGTAAACATTTATTTTAAAAATCGTCAAATTGAAAACAAAGCATGTCACCATAAGTGCAGCTTAGAACCGATCACTCAGTCTATATAACAATTTTGGAGAAAAATAAATCTATCAAATATTTTTCATTTTTAACGATTCAAGTCACAGAACTCTTGAACGAAATTCTGAATATCCTCAAAATCGAAAGAGAGCTTGTCTTTAAGGAACAAACCATTGTTTAAAAATCTAATAAAGATCCATTATAAATTCTAAATTGTATAATTACTGTATGTAGTCGGACAGGCGAACAACGATACACAATGGACATTGATAAGACGTCCTTCGATGATGGACGTAAAAATATTAACAGATAAAAAAAAACAGTTCATAAAAAAATTATGCGTGAATATAACAACCAAAAATACAATGTATTTGCAATTATGACTTTGAGCACGTTGTTATTCGTATGCGCATCATTGGTGCTTCATCTTCTGCAATAATTAGTTCTACTGGTGAAGGAGATTTCCTGTAATGAACAGATTCAGACGGTTCCGGTGATCCTTTAGAGTTGCTATTATGTTCATAGATCCCGAGATCTGATTTAGCACGTGATAACGCAGACGATGGCACTTCCGGAAGTCTCTGTCGAACCAGTCCTGCAGTTTTAGGTTTTGTGTAATCTGAAATACCACTACTCAACATTTTCGTAGTCGATTTGTCAAGCAAAACTCTCCCTGAAATAAAAACAAAAAACACAAATGAATACATGTTTAATATTTTACAATATATCTTTAGTTTGCATACTATGATTAGTTATCCAGATATATTATTAGCAAGGCATGTTTTGCGTATCGATTTCTATTAGAGCTTTAGTAATTTATTTGATTTGATTTTTCACAGTTGAGTTTTGTTTTCATTTTCATAGACGCTTTACAGTCGTGTCGGTATCGGTTTTGTTTAATTTGCTCGGACAATTGAACAGCAATCCAAGAAACATCCTTTTGCCTACATTCTTCATTTGTAATCTATGGTATACGCAATATGTTATCTTAAAATGCGTTAAGAAATTTGGTTGTGTTGTACATTTTTAAAGAATGTAGACAATATACATTTTCATACAGCTCTTCACATTCGCACACAGATAATTTAGATATTGTCTAAGCGTCATACGCGTATTGCGCAATATGCCTATATATGACACTTGTTAAATACAAAGAAGACGTAACACTATAATATGGCAACATTTCTATTAAGCTGGTTTCCCTTCTCAATTTTATGTTTATTTAATAGACCTTTAAGTATCTGTATCATCCTTAGTAAGCTTATACCAACATGAATCGATTAAGATTCGGTACCCTTTATTAGGTCCAATGTGGTCTATAAAACATATTTAATGAAAACATGTCTAACTTTTTATGCTAGAAATGTGCTTATGTTAGAACCCAAAGCCACCCTATTCTCGGGGCTGATGGTAACCATTACAAGAACCCACAGCAAATACTTCTAGTTAAGACTACTTTTAGTGGAGTCTGAAATAAATTTGTTTTGCTCTTGATTACAAAATATTTTCAGTAATAAAATAAACTTAATTTCCCCTCAAATGTGTTATTGTTAAATGGGGATAAGAAAAAAATATTCTTAAGTTGTATTTTGAATATTTCTATTCAAATTTTTAGAGAAAATCTTTAAATATGTTAGGTTGTATGCTTTTTTCTCGAAAATTATTTTTATCTAATCGGTCAGCTTTTGATGTATCCTTATTTCGTCGGACATCGAATATTCAAACTAAGTGCGTTTCTTCTGTTATACATAAGGTAGCTTATTTACTTTTTATGTAATGTGATTCCTCATAGCCTTATATGAGACAAGTTTCGAACTGAAACGATTAATGCTATAGCTCATTCTTCACATTTTAATATTTAATTACTAGTAATACAACCGCGTCTTGCAGGACTGAGGTCGTTTGTTTTCGATCCTTGCAACGACTGAAAAATGATATTTGCTGCTTCACCGCAAAGTACACGGTATTAAGGAGTAATATAGCAAAGACCGGTGGGGTCGACTCGATATAAGAATAGTATATGTCCCTCCCAGTGGATTGTAACCTTGTGAATTAGCTATTTGTAAAAAAAATAAAAACCAACAGCAACACAACAAAAACGGCTCAGCGTGTCGATCAGGTACAACTCATTGTTGTTTTGCATACAAAATTTGCCATCGGACGTTGATTCCAATTCATAAAGTTAATACAGTGATTAGTTAATATTTAGCATTCAAACTTAGACTAACATAGCCAGGGATCTTTGTTTATTTTAGACAACACAAACATGCATTTTTGAACTCGCAAAATTAACTTTGAAATACTAGCAGTTATCAGATTGTATATTATATTTCGCATATAAGTATAATTACAGGTATGTACCTCTGCCAACAATTTTTGCATATTTTATATCATCTAACGTCGGCATTGCATCTCTAGGAGTGAGCATTTTCTGTGATGAAATTGAATTTGCGTAGATTGTTTTGCTTCTAGATAATGTCAGTGCTGCGCCGCGTACTAATCTCTGACGACTTTTCCCCGTCATTCCCCACAACTCCTCTGGGTATGGATCAGTCAGGAAACTTGATGCTTGTTCTGACTCCTCGTGTAGCTGTGGTTCTGTTAGTGTACGTAATGAGTATCTATACGGAGTTTTCACAGATCCTGGACGAGGACCAGCAGGCGAAGTTTTAGGGACAACAACCATGTCCCTTTCTTGCACTACATTGTTTATATCTATTTCTGTTTTAGCTCTTCCGCCAAGTGATGTGTTTGGAGGTGGTGGAGGTGTTTCAATATATGTACTCGCCGACTGTCCATTTACATGTTGAAATCGTTCATAAATGTTTTTCTTAATAATAGGAATATTTTTGGGTACTTCGGGTGTGTCATAGCTTACAACCCCGTCTGCTGACCATTCGTATACCGCTTGTTTCGGTTGGCAAGATAACATAAAATCTTTAGCTGGATGTTTTTGATCCGAGCTTTTGTTTGAATTTGTTTTATATTGTTGTGATACAGCCATTCTTGGCCCTTTCCTTCTTAAAATAACATTTTCTCCTTGTTTTGAAAGTATCAATGGTTTAGTTTTTGCATCTTTTAAAAACTGAAGGTAGTTTTTATACGATGAGGGTTGAAAACCCTGATTCGACAATCCTTTGTCAACAGTTTCTTTAACGTATCCATTAGATCTAGGAATCGATGTTTCTTGCCCTGGAAATGATAACGGAAACGACGTAAACGTATGACTTTTCCTTGGGGGAAAAGAAGGATCCATTCCTAGTCCAATTAAATGGAGTCCTGCTTCAAAGCGTTTGTGAATGAGATGATAGGTTGCGGCAACAGAATTCACTTTCCTTTCATGAAGCGAAAAAATAATATCACTTTCGTGAAAATTGAACATTTTTGTCATGTAATTCATGACAGCACTCTGAGGTACCAATGGTCCTAGTTGTGAAACAGTTGGATATTTTTGCACTGGAAGATCGTGACTGTCCAATAACCAAGGATGTTGCATGAGTGCGTCCATTTTTATCCGCTTCCGGTCGTCTGCTGTGAGCATTCGCGTTAGAATATCGGCACATTCTGAAGTAAAGAACACAATTTATAAAACAATCACAAAATCATACCACGTCCAAATGGTCCACGTAACTATTCAAATTATAAATTAATCCAGTGAAATTGTTTATAACAAATAATATATCATCAAATATTAATGTTTCACCTGTCTGCAATGATAAATAACTTCGACATTGCTACTTAGCCTGTCATAGGGTTATCAAAACAATTAAAAATTCTTGTCCAGCAATGATTTAATTTCCATAAAGATCAATTAATATTCAAGATTATCAAAGATTCCATATTCAACAGGTCTAGAATGTCAAAGTCACGTTGTAGATGTATTGTATGTGCTAGATGAATATTTACATGGATGACAGGAGCCCGGGTCTATTATAATAGACTTAATGTAGGAATAATGCATTATCATTTCATACTAATAATTTAAAGTTTGAATATGTTCGATTTAAATACCACAATTGTTCTTTTATCACTTCATACTGCTATAGTTTATTAACATTAAAATCCTATATAATCCCAACAAAAAGAAATCAATCGTGTCCAGGGGTAGTTAAAGGTTAACGTTAGTTCATGCTATGTATAATTATACACTAAATGCATTAATAGTATTTCGAATTTACTCACATTGGACGAACATCACGAACCACTTTTAGAAAAAAAATATAAACTCAAAAGATATCACTCTAGATATTCAGTCATCTCTTTTTGAGTCTACAGGATTAACTCTTGTTAAGTTTCTAGTCCAGTAAAAAATGAAAGTAAAGTACGTATGCACGTTTTGTGCTTCCTTTGTCTCGTGTCTCAGTTTTGATGATGGTCTGTTAAACAAATTTGCCCACTTTGTTGATTCCAACAGCATAACATTACACTTTTAAGATATATAATTACAATATTAGATTTCACTTTAATTAGTTTAAATATGACATTTAACTAATAGAACAAAAAGAAATAACTCGTTATTTATTAATTAAAAAAATACATATATATTAATTATTTTACCTTGTGATAACCCGTCTGGGATCTCACAGCCTTTCAACAGCAAGCTATGGAGCTGAGCTAAATTGTTTGGTGAATCAGGAATAAATGGCAAGGCTCCTACCAGCATAGCATATAGACAAACTCCACTGTAAACATTAAAAAAATAATTAATATTGCTTGGTTTACACTAAATGTACCGAAAAAGATTAAAATAAATGCATTACATCCTTGCAAACCAGGTTTTCTTACTTTAACATTCTGATGTACAAGAAACAAATCTGAATCAGGCGGAGAAGACTGGGTCAAAAGCTTTCGACTTCAAAAGCCAGAGATTTATTAATTTTAACTCAGACGGAAAATCTGGTTACTAGTTTTAACTTTGGGGAGTATGGCGGGTGGGTGGGCGTCTCAAGCAGTTTCAGTACAATAATTAAAGAACCATTCAGCTAATGCTTTTCAAATTTTAATATGGTATTACTAATGACAAAATGTATGCGAATTTCGATACGTATAACGGTCAGGAGTTATGGTCCATCACTGATCGGATAATGTCAATTTATGTCGGTCAGTGCGATAACTTGAGATAGTTTGATAAAATACTTGTCAAATTTTGATAAGATTTTTCTTATGACAAAATGTAGGTCAGGATTGGTTTTGAAGGTTTTCACTTTTGTTGTTCAGGAGTTATTGCTATTGTTTGGTTTAATAATGACACTAATGCATGTAAGAAAAACCCGTCTTGCTGTAATTTTGACAATGCATTGGTTAAAATGTGTCTATAAAAACAATAAATACTTATAAAATTATTACCTCCAATAGCCTTAATTTATGTATTATTTTGGTCTGATTATCCAGACACATAAATCGCTAATTCGGACGCCTTTACGAACTTCACATAATGTACAGTGTAACTATACAATACATATTACACGCTTAATTACGGAAATCATCACAGGTCTGTGGACTCTAATCTAAAAGCACTTAAATACAATTAAATTACTGTTTACAAAATCTAATGCGTGCCATATTTGTGAAAGATTTAATTTCATACGATCCAATTCAGGTACTAGGATACTATTAAATGTCTCTTTTAAAAGAAAATCATACCGCATAAGTCTTTATAACGTATTAAGTGCATTGTTTGTTAAGTATCTTCTGGATGAAGTTTTATATTTTAACATTTAAATATATATTTGTAAGGTATGAAAGTAACCTTTGAATAGTTTGTACACTAAGATTTTAGATTCTGTCTCAATTTTGTATTTACTGTACATGTAACTAGTATTCTGAAATTTCTGAGAAAAAAACATTTTGTCCTTTTTTGGTGTTGTTGTGTCGTTTTTGTTGTTGTCTTTGTTTTTATTGTGCTATCGCGTGTGTTTTAAATAAATAAAGACAACTTCATTCAATATATTTTAATTACGTGTTGATAAACTATTTAAATATCTAGAACTAAATTTTTCAAAGACAGTATGAACAAATTTACTTTGTTTAACGCTAATTCGTATCGTATTTTTAAGAGAATGGAAAGTTCAGAACAAAAAAGAAATAAACTATCAATCGATTAAAAAATAGGCTTTGCAATCATTTACATAAAAAATGATAAAAAAAACAATAAAAATAAAAAAAGAACCCCACCCCCCTCCGAAAAAAAAATCAAATATAAAAAGCAATCCTCGTTGGAACTGTAATGAATAAATTAAGGAACCTAATGACCCCATGCTGAAGATGTGAACTCGTTTGGGTTCGCGGGATGCATAATTACTCTGTCATTTCCGATCAGAATTGGAAAGCTTATTCTGTTGCATATTGGAAGAAGAGTGTTAAAAAAAACTCTTGCAAAATCTCGTTGAGAGGTCAGTAACAAGTCAAACCTTCTGTCCCTATCCCCAGTAACGTGTGTTCTTTTTTTCTCATGACAGTCCAATTACCGCTCTTCACCTCAGAAAACTCGTTTTACAGAATCCATTTTATGTCTTTTAAAGGAAACTTTATATTAAGCTCTTCTACCGATAAAGTGCAGCTTGTAGTTTTTGTAAATGAATTTATAATCTTAAAGATATTGCCCATGTTTGGTGAAAAAGTTCGTGAAAAAAGTACTCTAAAGGATTCTCATTGTGAAAAAAGAGCAAACATGTATTTTTTTTTTTTCAGAACGTGGGTGAGTAATAAAACAAGGACATAGTAGAGATAATAAGTCATGACCATGTTGCTTTAAAGTACACACGTATTTAGATCTATTTCCGCTGTACTTCCGTTGTGATGTAAACCAGTGTAAACTGAAAAGTTAGTCAACTGTTTCCCAAAATATACTTGAACTTTGGTCGAGTAAATAGAAAAGGTATACAAAAATGTACTTCACATTTGAACATATTATTAATGATCAAGTTACCTATCCTCAACCTGTACACTGAAAACAACTAATGTTAAACGTTGACTAAAGCTTACCATTTCCAGTAGATGCATGCTTCGTTAAATTTATATATGACTTTTTGAAGCAGTTACAATTTTCAACAGGCCCTTTAATTTGTAAAGCTTAGAGCAGTGAACAAAAACTGACAAAAAAATAATAATGTATTATTTATTCTGAATAAGATCATATTTCGTCAATAAAACAATTCACCTCCCAATATAACTAGCAAAAACATCTAACAAGTCAACAAATAGTCTGCCACAATTGCTTACTAGTGTCTAAAAGGGACCATACAGTATCTCAAGTTCTACACGAAATTCGCCTAAGTCAAATACTGACAAAAGTTTTATTTCGAGTCGAATGATATTTTCATTAAATTTATCAAGGAACCCATATGTTCTTCAACGATGAACATTCAGGAGTAAGGCATTCGATACTATCCAGAAAATAAGCTGTGTTAAAAGCTTTCTGCTTTAAGCTCGCAGTTGTGTTATTAACTGAGGTCAGTTCAAGTACACCAAAAATTATCACGAACAGGATGTGAAGTTTGGTGAGACTTTCTGTTTCAATTTTTGTTATTGACAAACTAATTAAAACACATCCTATTACCGGCTATCACTACTGCATTTTCAATAGGATCTGTTATCCAGATTGCCGTTTAGCTATCTTGTACGGCAGATTTTTGTATGTAATTCCGATTACCATTGCAATACAACAGGTTATGCCAAAATGAACAGCAAATTGTGATAAGCGTTACCTTATGCATTTACAGTATCAAGGGCTGGTAAAACATACAAAGAGCAATATCAATAATTAAATACTACTAGAACGTTCTTAACCTTTCATCGATTTTTCTAAATAAGGTAGTATATCAACTGTGTATTAATGATATTTTTCGATGACCATAAACGTATAAATTTACCGGGAATTGGTATTATATATATCACACTGGCACGTATAATTGTATACCAACGTAAATGTGTTTTAAATCAGTTAAGACGAGTTATAATTTCTATGTCAAAAATGGTCTTAAGATAATTTTAAAAGCTATTATTACCCTTTCGGAGAACCGAGATCAACCCGGTTTTTGATGGGGTTATTTTTGCCCAGTCTTTAGTTTTCTATGTTGTGTTTTGTATACTATTGTTTGTCTTTTGATCTTTTTTTTTTGCCATGACGTTGTCAGTTTATTTTCGACTAATGAGTTTGAATGTCCCTTTGGTATCTTTCGCCTCTCTCTATTAACTTCCAATTTAAACTTTACTTCGTCCAAACAACATGCAACATTCATAAAATTTACTTAGAATTGATTCTGAAAATAAGAACATGTAATCAAATATAGTGCTATGATTTTTTTCTTTTATAACAAATCAGTCTCCAGCGTACAATTATGAAAACTTTCATTTTAAGATTATGTAAAAATTATCTGATTACGTAATGAAAGAAATACTAGTATGAAACGTAAAGATCTTATTGGTTCAGATCTTTTTATAAATACTGCACTTCCTGATTACAAATTTACCTTACATTTACAATATTTAACAATGTATTCTTTCAATAAAATAGGATATGTGAGTTTATGTATTCAATAGCAAGATTATACCTCTTAAAGAAAACTGTCACAGACCTAGATCTGTATTAATTTTATAACATTGTTTATGTATTACGTATATTTATTTTTATTTTGTATATATTTGAAGGGAATTTTTGGGACAATTTTCTCATTACTCTTGTCTATAATTATTAAAGAAATGAAGACTTCATGTTGATATTTAAATATGACATTGGTCTACATTTTTATACGCCCGTCAATTTTTGACGGGACGTATTATGGTATACAAATATCCGGTATCCGTCCGTCCGTCCGTCTGTCTGTCCGTCTGTCTGTCCGTCTGTCCGTCTGTCTGTCCGGCGTAAACATGTCGCACCGTAACTTGAGAATGACTTATCCAAATTTCATGAAACTTAACATAGTTGTTTCTTATGATGGTCAAACGATCTGTTTACTTTTTGGTGAAAATAAGATTAAAACTTTTTGAGTTACGGGACTTAGTAACTAAAACAGGTGTGTGTTTTTTTTCACATGTCGCGCCGTATCTCAAAAACAATTTATGATTATTGCTTAAAACTTTACACACTTCTTAGTTATATTAATCTTAAGATCTGTATACTTTTTGGTGATGATTCAAAATTTTATTTTAGAGATATTGAGTATTTTGTTAAAAAAGGGGGAGGGATTTTTCACATGTCGCGCCGTATCTCAAAACAGTTTATGATTATTGCTTAAAACTTTACACACTTCTTAGTTATATTAACCTTAAGATCTGTATACTTTTTGGTGATGATTCAAAATTTAATTTTTGAGTTATTGAGTATTTTGTAAAAAAAGGGGATGGGGTTTTTCACATGTCGCGCCGTATCTCAAAAACGATTTATGATTATTGCTTAAAATTTTACACACTTCTTAGTTATATTAATCTAAAGATCTGTATACTTTTTGGTTTTGATTCAAAATTTTATTTTAGAGATATTGAGTTTTTTGTAAAAAAAAGGGGGGTTTTCGCATGTCACGCCGTATGTCAGAAACTATTTACGCTTTTTGCATAAAAATTCACACACAAGACGACGGGCGTATCATGCGCTCATGGCGCAGCTGTTTATTTATTTTGTTTTCAATGTGATAATAAAATAAAATTGTAAACCTCATCAAGGTCATGAAATATAAACGCTCAACGATGGTATATTTCTCTCTGACACATGAGCTACAAGTATCCCTTGACTTCACATCCCGTTTTATAGCAAACTTCTTAAATTATATTTGAACTTGCATCCATAAATTGATAGTTAGCCTCAGGGTTCGTCGATAACTTAATCATTTGTAAATATTACGACCACATTTTTCTACCGAAATGAGCTTCTCATTTTCACGTAGCAACAGCCCAAAAGCAAAATTTCAAATTTGAGGAGTATGTCACTAGTGAACTAATTTCGAACGTAAACGGTCATTTTGATCCAAACAACTAATAGCCATTGTCATCTGTCACATAGAAATTCCATAATCGTCAACAAACTCGTAATGACTTCAATTTTACCACTTAGTTCATGAGTCATGTTTAGTCTTTCGGTCAATTTCAGACTTATTCACTACAGTAAATACAATACTGTTCAGACAATTCGCTAGTAGTCAATTAAAATTTGTTCAGTTTAAGTTCGGAATGTTCAGTACTTATCATCTATCTGTTCAAAACAAGAACATACTGATTTGTATAAGAAAATCTACTGAACAGTACTGGGTTGACTGTAAACTCTATGTCTGAACAATACTGAATTTATAACAAGGCAATATCTGAAAAATAACAAAGTCCTACCATGTAATAAAGATTTGAGGTTCAGACTTTTCAGATGATGTTAAAATTAAAATGGCTGTTTAAGACTTAAATTAATTTACTAGTGAATCTAAAAGATGAAACAATATTCGATGGTGTGTTTCCCCATCATAATTCAAATAGTAACGAACCGTTATGGAATAGTTGCATCACAGATACATAGTAATGCCTCATTTAACGCAGCCAAAATCCTGTCCTATTTTTCCTTGTGTATGACATCACTAAAGGCTTACTTGCCATGAGCACTTAGTAACCCCTCCATCTTTTAATGCAATTTGGTTTGCTAAAGCCTTAGCTTTCTGTATAATTTTTAGTGAACTCTTGTTTATCTTCTCGTCGTTTTTCATATGGCTATAGTTTTGTTTCTCTGTCCTAGTTAGCTCACTTGGTGCCGTCGTCCGTCGTCGTCGTTAACTTTTCACATTTTGAACTTCTTCTGGAGAACCATTGAATGGAATGAAACCAAACATGGCATGAATGTTCCTTATGAGGTGCTGACCAAGTGTTGTAACTTTGTAGCCGATCCATCATCAAAAATGGCCGCCAGCGGGGGACTTGGTTTAACATAGGACCCTATGGACAATACATACAAATGTCTTCTTTTAGAGAACCACTGAATCAAATTAAACCAAACATGGCATGCATGTTCCTTATGAGGTGCTGACCAAGTGTTGTTACTTTGATGCCGATCCATCATCCAAGATGGCCGCCAGCTGAGGACTTGGTTTAACATAGGACCCTATGGACAATACATACATATGTCTTCTTTTAGAGAACCACTGAATGAAATGAAAACAAACATGGCATGAATGTTCCTTATGAGGTGCTGACCAAGTGTTTTTACTTTGATGCCGATCTATCATCCAAGATCGCCGCCAGCGGGGGACTTGGTTTAACATAGGACCCTATAGACAATACATACAAATGTCTTCTTTTAGAGAACCACTGAATGGAATGAAACCAAACATGGCATGAATTTGTCTGATGAGGTGCTGACCAAGTGTTGTTACTATGAAGCCGAACCATCTTCCAAGATGGCCGCCAGAGAGGGACTTAATTTAACATAAGACCCTATGGGAAATACATACAAATGTCTTCTTTTAGAGAACCACTTAACGGAATGAAATAAAACATGACATGAATGTTCCTTATGAGGTGCTGACCAAGTGTTGTTACTTTGAAGCCGAACCATCATCCAAGATGGCCGCCAGAGAGGGACTTAGTTTAACATAGGACCTATGGGAAATACATACAAATGTCTTCTTTTAAAGAACCACTGAATGGAATGTAATAAAACATGGCATGAATGTTCCTTATGAGGTGCTGACCAAGTGTTGTAACTTTGTAGCCGATCCATCATCAAAGATGGCCGCCAGCGGGGGACTTGGTTTAACATAGGACCCTATGGACAATACATACAAATGTCTTCTTTTAGAGAACCACTGAATCAAATTAAACCAAACATGGCATGCATGTTCCTTATGAGGTGCTGACCAAGTGTTGTTACTTTGATGCCGATCCATCATCCAAGATGGCCGCCAGCTGAGGACTTGGTTTAACATAGGACCCTATGGACAATACATACAAATGTCTTCTTTTAGAGAACCACTGAATGAAATGAAACCAAACATGGCATGAATGTTCCTTATGAGGTGCTGACCAAGTGTTTTTACTTTGATGCCGATCCATCATCCAAGATCGCCGCCAGCGGGAGACTTGGTTTAACATAGGACCCTATAGACAATACATACAAATGTCTTCTTTTAGAGAACCACTGAATGGAATGAAACCAAACATGGCATGAATTTGTCTGATGAGGTGCTGACCAAGTGTTGTTACTATGAAGCCGAACCATCTTCCAAGATGGCCGCCAGAGAGGGACTTAATTTAACATAAGACCCTATGGGAAATACAAACAAATGTCTTCTTTTAGATAACCACTAAATGGAATGAAATAAAACATTGCATGAATGTTCCTTATGAGGTGCTGACCAAGTGTTGTTACTTTGAAGCCGAACCATCATCCAAGATGGCCGCCAGAGAGGGACTTAGTTTAACATAGGACCTATGGGAAATACATACAAATGTCTTCTTTTAAAGAACCACTGAATGAAATGTAATAAAACATGGCATGAATGTTCCTTATGAGGTGCTGACCACGTGTTGTAACTTTGTAGCCGATTCATCATCCAAGTTGGCCGCCAGCGGGGAACTTCGTTAAACATAGGACCCTATGGATAATACATACAGATGTCTTCTTTTAGAGAACCACTAAATGGAATGAAATAAAATGACATGAATGTTCCTTATGAGGTGCTGACCAAGTGTTGTAACTTTGTAGGCGATCTATCATCCAAGATGGCCGCAAGCGGGGACTTAGTATAACATAGGACCCTATGGGAAATACATAGTAATGTTTTCTTTGAGAAACCACTGAATGAAATGAAACCAAACATTGCATGAATGTTCCTTATGAGGTGCTGGCAAAGTGTTGTTACTTTGTAGCAAATCAATCAACCAAGATGGCTGCCAACGGGGGACTTCGTTTAACAAAGGACCCTATGGGAAATATATACAAATGTCTTCTCCTAGAAAACCGCTTAATGGATTGAAACCAATCATGGTATGAATGTTTCTTTTGAGGTGCTGAACAAGTGTTGTTACTTTGTAGCTGATTTGTCATCAAAGATGGCTGCCAGCAGGGGGATTAAGTTTAACATAGGACCCTATGGGAAATATATACAAATGTTTTCTTCTAAGAGAACCACTGAATAGAATGAAACCAAACATGGCATGAATGTTTCTTATGAGGTGCTGCCCAAGTGTTGTTACTTTGTAGCCGAACCATCATCCAAGATGGCCGCCAGCAGTGGACTTAGTTTAACATAAGACCCTGTGGGAAGTACATACAAATGCTTCTTCTAGAGGTGCACTGAATGAAATGAAACCAAACATGGCATAAATGTTCCTTATGAGGTGCTGATGAAGACCTTAATACATGTATCTTTATAGATTGAGATCTACTGTAAACTGCAAAAATATCATGAAAAGAAGATCAACATATTGTCAATTGGCATCTTGTTGGAGTTATTGTCCTTATTAAGTCATTTTCTACAATTTCAATGAATTTATTGGTAATTTCTGTAAACTTTACAAATGTCTTCTGCTTTTGATTAAATTACTGGGCCAATATTTAACCAAATTTGGCATCATTCATTATTAGGGTATCTGTTATGATTTTAATGTATTTTTACATGATTTCTACAACCGAAGTAGAATCAGGTGAGCGACACAGGCTCTTGAGAGCTTCTAGTTTCAATATTCGACTTTTGATTTCCTCTGTAGCATTTTTTTACTTGTTCAAACAAAAACTTGACGTATAACACGTATGTACAGGATGATAAACAGATAAACCATATCATTTGACCAAAACAAATAAAATCTCGTTCATTTATTAATTGTATTGTTACGAAATATCTGGATTGAAATCCTTTTCTTAGTTTAGTATTCACAAGATTCAAAAATGTATGCTTAAGAAAGAGCGGCACCTGTTTCAAATACAAGAAATGAAAAGACAATTTTTGAAAATATAGAAATATCGAATAGAAAATATTTTAAACAAATGGATGATAGTAAATACATTGACAATACGCCTTATATTATTTAGGGAGGTTTGCGGTTTATGGAGGATTAACGTGTTATTTGATGTATGTATCCCTGACCTTTTAACTTTTAAAAAATTGAGACAACAAAAAGTAAATGAAGCATTAATACATACACACTCCAGATGTCCACTGCTGGTCCATACTTCTGATTACTGAAGATCTCTGGTGCCGCATACGCTGGTGAACCACACTGTGTAATCAAGGAGGAGTCACCATAGAATACATTACTCAGACCAAAATCTGAAAGAAAATAAGAAATTACTTCCAGTAGATACAATATATCACATCCAGGTAATAGTTATTGTATATACCTACTACTTATGAGACTTCTTTCAGATGTTCTTTTGTTCAAACTTTGCTTCACAAGCATTAAATCTATCGTTAGCTAGACAGATTGATTTATTCTTAACTTGTGCCATTGTTCTACCTTTGCAGGAAGAATGTCACATTGAAATGCTAATGCAGATATATTTCTATATTAATTGAGAGTAAAGACATCATTAGACAGCTCTTCTGGAAATCAATATACATTATAGAGATATATATTAAGGAACTATGGTGACTGTACATTACGCCGTCAGGAAACAATGCATGATATCAACACCAAGATCTCAGTAAGTAAGATCAGACAATCAATAGAACATCAACTTGGAATGTTTCATAATTTCCTGTCAAAATTGATGATAATATTGGTTTCGATGCAATTGTAAACGAGTGTACTACAAAAATGGTGCTTGCATAAATGCATGATAAAATTATTATAAAATTGAGAATGGAAACAGGGAATGTGTCAAAGAGACAACAACTTGACAAAAGAGCTCAAAACAGCCCAAGGCCACCAATGGGTCTTCAACACAGCGAGAAAATCCCGCACCCGGAGGCGGGCTAAAGCTGGCTCCTAAACAATAATGTATACTAGTTCAGCGAAAATGGACATCACACTAAACTCTGAGGTTCCTGACTTGGGACAGGCGCAAAAAAAGCGGCGGGGTTAAACATGTTTTGTGACATCTCAACCCTAGAACAATCCCTCCCGTTAGGAGTTTAGTATCATACCATCATAAAATATACGAGAAAAACATAACCCGTATCGTGAAGTTCGTTCAAAGGTCCGGCCAGCCCCTGATGCGAACGACGACACCCCCGTGCTCTGAACAGAACATCACCACAAAAGACGGAACGTGAAACACCTGAACGCGCAAGACGTCCACACGTTGACCCACATCTACGAACGACGCCCCGTCACCGACGATAAAATGCAGCAGATGTTTCGAATACATATGACGACGCCATCTGTTACCAAAAAAACCGAGATTTGTGAACCTCAGGTTTTAAAAAAGTATTTCGAATACTTAAATGGGTATTTAAAAAATTCTCCATACATATATTTAATAATCAAAATGATTTTCGGTTTTAAAATTTGTTGTTATAGGATATTTTAGTGAACTAATGCTTATTACGTAACTTTACGTTCCGCTATATAGATGATGTTCTCTCACTAAATAATACAAAATTTGGTGACTATGTTGAACGAATCTATCCCATCGAACTAGAGATAAAGGATACTACAGATACAGTTAAGTCTGCCTCATATCTTGACTTACATCTAGAAATTGACAATGAGGGTCGGTTGAAAACAAAACTTTACGACAAAAGAGATGATTTCAGCTTCCCAATTGTGAACTTTCCATTTCTATGTAGCAACATTCCAGCAGCGCCTGCATACGGAGTATATATCTCCCAATTGATACGATATTCCCGGGCTTGAATTTCCTATCATGATTTCCTTGATAGAGGATTGCTACTCACAAGGAAGCTATTAAACCAAGAGTTCCAAATGGTGAAGTTGAAATCTTCCCTTCGTAAATTTTACGGACGCCATCACGAGTCGGTTGACCGTTATGGAATAACCGTTTCACAGATGATATCGGATATGTTCCTTATGTCGTAACTACAATATCCTTCCCTTTTCACGAATGTGACCTACCGCATTAGACTATTTACCGGATTTGTAATAACATAAGCAACACGACGGGTGCCACATGTGGAGCAGGATCTGCTTACCCTTCCGGAGCACCTGAGATCACCCCCAGTTTTTGGTGGGGTTCGTGTTGCTTAGTCTTTAGTTTTCTATGTTGTGTCATCTGTACTATTATTTGTCTGTTTGTCTTTTTATTTTTGGCCATGGCGTTGTCAGTTTGTTTTCGATCTATGAGTTTGACTGTCCCTCTGGTATCTGTCGTCCCTCTCTTATTAAACATGGTTTATTTTATAGCGAACGGTATATAGTGATGGTAAAATCTGTTGGTCCATTCGCTCGCTCCGCCGTACGAAATTAGAAAAAAAAACTCATAAGCAAACTTAAATAAAACATTATCAGAGTAATAAAAACTACATCTAACGCCTTAATGAACTCAACAGTTTCAATTGTCTAAAAGTTCGAATTCCACTAGTGGCATATATTGTGCATATTACAACATTCCACACATCGTTAATAGGCGTATTCGGTGGTAAGTTATAAACGGCGGTGTTATTGCTGCGACAAATGAAACATATCGGTGACCATCTGAGACAAGGATGTCCGTGATGGTCATCTAAACCATTGAAGTTGCGTCCTTCAAACGCACGAAATATTGAATTCAACTTAACCATTTTGAACTGTTGGTTACGTTGTTCATGTGTGGACAGCAACCGTTTACCAAGGAAAATTTTGTAGGAAACACGTTTAAATATCGTATAAACTTGTATAAACTCCATATGAAATTGTTGCTTTAAAAATGAAAACTTTGAAACCATCTTAAAATAAGGTATGTAATTTCATACAGTACATTATTTTAAGGTTGAGGTATGCTGACATTAATTATGTTGAATATTTTATATTCATTTTTCCTTTGTGTTTATTTTGTTTTAGTTGTTCGTGGAAAAATCAAATATACATGAATCATTTCATTACCGTATTTTACTAGTATTATAACGACCAAAATTATCGGATATATTACTTTTTCATCATAATCAGTTCTATGCATTTGTTTGTCTGTGTGCAATCAAGGAAGTTCTACAAAATATATTTGCATTTGTAGAGTAAATATTTATTCAAGGCATACTGTATAAACATCCCGATATATCTAAATTAGAAGGTTGTTCAAATTTAGCATTGTTTCTGACAAAAACTAATTTTAGAAGTTCCTGATACGTCTGTTTGACAAGGGTATTCTAAAAGATAAATAGTCCCAGGGGATGAAGGAAGTGAATCAGAAAACTTCATATCATTCAATAATGAACTTTGGTTCTTTTCGCTTAAACTAACAATAGTACATTATCATAATTGGATATAAGTATCTTCTTCCTACTTATTCATAAATAGTATCGGTTTTATAATGCAAATATTTAGGAAATATGGACGTAATACTTACCTACTTACGCAAGAAGAACAATACATTTCGTTATGTTTAATGATTTGTCCAATTAAAGATAAAATCGAAAAGCCACACTGTCTATTTAAAGGAAACCTTGAATATATTTTTTCATTATTCGTGTTTATGGTGAGATATTGAAGATAAAGATGACAATGTAACATTATCTCAGGAGATCTAAAAAAGTTTAATTTCGTATAGTGCCAAACTAGTATCATACCAAAACATAAGATAAATAGTCTAGAGGTAAACCATAATTTCAATATATATTTTAAAATCCAGAGGACAATAAATGGCTTGCACATTTAATGGTCAAATACACAAGCAAGACATCGATATGACAGTTTCTAAAAACTGTCAGCAATTTTACATTGAAAATGAAACTTCAAATGAACATAAAACAAAATCAATTAGTAGTATTGATTATGAAGATAACTTTAGTTCTTTCGGCATTGGTAACAAGTGCAATTGTCAACAGGTGGAAAACCATGGTGGTCATAAACCGAACAGAACCATAGGTAACAAAGACATTCCTTCGAAAGATTCAGTTGAAAACGTCATGAACATTCATTGTGAAAAACTTTACAGCAACTGTAAACCAAGCAACTGCATAAATATAACAGGAGACTGCGAAGATGTGTATTGTAAACAACTTATGAACGAAGTGGGTCAAAGTCAAAAGAAGGAAGAAAAACACAGTATTAAGCGGAAACAATTGTTTAAAATATCGATGGTGGTTGTGATTTTAGCAGCACTGACAATTCCTATAGTTATATGTTTTGGGGTATATAGACATATGCATATACAGGAAAACCACAAAGACTTTCAACCGAGCAACGACTTTCAGTCGAGCAATGCATCTCAATTTACTGACAATAAGAAGGATCGTTTCAACAGAGTGACATTTGAACTTGATTTTCATGACAGTCGTTTTGAGGATACAAACGCTTCTTTAAATGTAACAAAGTGGACAACTAAGGATAATATATTAGTTGATTTTAACAATCGAAATAATCAATTTTCTGTAAGAAAACCAGGTCTATATTTTATAAGTTTGTCGCTTAATGTTGGAACATATGTAACAAGAAAGTTGACCAAATCATTAGTATGTATACGGTATGGTAGTGGTATGCATGAGAGGTGTAATCGAGTTGTGTTGACAGAAAACATAGACATTCCAATATATATACAGGAAATTCACTATCTGTTTACAGGAGATACTTTCTGGATTTCTTTTACGAACAAAAACATTTTATACCGGTCTTCTACAATGAATACATTGACAGTATGGAAAATGTAAATGTTATTATCGTCCAATCTTATGCAAAATATTAATTCATGGATGTCTCCAAATAACGAAGATTATTATTATTTCACATATTTAAAATTTAATATTATTGCATAGTAACCAGACTGGCATGAAGGGAAACATGCACTAAGTTTTAAACATCCACGCATTGTTGATTTACGAAAAAATAGATACTTTTATATACTAAATTTATTATTATTACTGCATTACTAGTTGTTTGAAAACGTTGTACGTATGGATTTTCAAATAAAAATAACCATCTGTACATTTAAATGGTGTGATTTTATTTTTGGATTAATACATAGAAAATGAATATAACACTTTACTAATTTCGTTCGTCCGAAGCGCTTTACCTCCATCAAAAACGCTGAAACCCAAACAATTGAAATCCAATGACGTATAAGACCGAAACAAACGCAGAGCTATATCAAAAGGGACCTAACAAAATAGGAAGTTCATCTGAGGTCATGTTTGCCTGATTGACTGTAGATTAGATAACAGGTTTTATACGATGCAAA